AATAATGTTGAAGAGTCTTTTCAAACGGGGGTGTTACGTACTAAAATGTTTAATATTAAAGGGGGTAAATTTCTGAAGAAACTGTGGTGCTACGTTGGTGGGAAAGTAAGACAAGATAATTTCAGTATTATCAACCGAGTTGGTAGCGTAAATAAGCCACCGTAAAAAGTTTCAAAGCTTACGTTTTGAGCGTCAGCCCTTCGTCAGAGCGAATGGATTATCAACTCAGTCGATAAAACCAAAATTAACCTATTTAATGAGAAGCTTGGATTGATGCCAGCTAGTATTGGCGCTGATCGAGGCTGCAAAACGTTGATTGAAAACCACGTGGTGATTATTGCGCACTTGCGAATGATTTGTGTGCTCTTTGCATCCTAAGATAAGCATTCATCTTCTTCTTACTGTTCACTTTACATTTCCAATGGTGCTGAAAAGGAAATTTGTTTGACAGGCAGGAGCTTCTTGAATAATTGATCATTCCCTTTATTTTCTTCTTTATATTTCATTCAAGGATGATGTTGCAGAGAGAAATTAGAATCCAGTCTCTCTTAGGGCTAAAAAAACCATAATTTAGGCGAATGTTCCCAGTCTCCCGTTTGATACTCTTCAACTGTCAACAGATCTAAAGATCTTATGTTCTCCTCACTCCAGAAATGGCACAACCCGTTTCTTGAATGGAATTCTTCTGAGTTTGGCGGTATTCAATCCATTCAGACGAACGCGGAGAAGATCTGGGTACCAGATGTTCTGGTCTATAACAAGTAAGGCTTGCATCTGCGCCATGACGAGAGCTGCAGGGGACCCTCCGAATCATTCGAAGTTTGATTATGACCTAAATTGGGGTCGGTGGTGAATCTAGGGAGGACAATGCAGAAAATGAGTCATTTAATCTACAAGATTGAAAATCATATGATATGCGTGCAACCTAAAATGTCGAAGGTAGCGAGACTAAGGAGTAGTTTTGAAATCTTGATACACGAGAAATTGATATTCGTGAAAGAAAATGATAAAATATTGTAAAATAGCCCTCTAAGTTCGCTAGCTATCTTGGCAGCGTTAACTTTTTATGTCATTGAAAAATTGATCTATTACCTAAAATGACTTAACTGCCCTTTAAGTGTGGTAAACTTGAAATCAAGACAACGTCGTCTGACTCATTTCACTTGATCTTATTATGACGATAAGATTTCTTACCAATGAAATGCCCATGCTAAATTTAGAGCCAATGGCAAATATTCTGCATGTCACACTCACCCAGGGACAAATCTTTTTCTCGGTGTAAACGAGACTATTTCAATGATTTTCTTTTTCTAGCATTGATCTCCATGACCGCATTGGTGGTGGGCGAACGACATACCAAACCAGTGTTCTCATGCAGGCAAACGGCCAAAACTCTTGGATGAGTCCTGCCATCTTCAAGACCGTCTGTGCCATTGATGTCACCTTCTTCCCTTTTGACATGCAGACATGTTTACTCAAGTTTGGTTCGTGGGCTTCTAACAGTCAGCAAATAACCTTGTGTCCACAGAACATGACTGGAAAATCGAATCAGTACGTGGACAATGGCGAGTGGGATATCATAGACATCGTACCTAGAAGAAACGTTGTGCATTACAGTACGGGTGCGTTTGACGACGTCACAATTACTATAGTTATAGGTCGCGTTTTTTTCGTGTACTGCGTGAATTTGATCATTCCGTGCTTTCTCATCTCGACCATGATATTTCTGGGATTCATTCTTCCTCCAGAGTGCGGAGAGAGAATTGGATTGAGTATTACTGTACTGCTTGCTATGACGGTCTTCCAACAGTTAACAGCAAACATTTTCCCTTCATTTGATTTCCCGCTCCTTGGTCAATATTATTTTGCAACAAGTGTTGAAATTAGTATTTCACTCTTGGCGACAACTGTGGTTCTCAATTTTACAAATCGAAAAAACAAGAAAATGCCACGATGGATGCGTAAGTTGTTACTAGAGTGGACCGCGCGCGTCGTCTTTCTGAGGAAAACTGTAGAAAAAAGCTGCCCAAAACCCAAACATAAACGGTCCACGCGGCGTTTCTCGAGCATGAGGGAATTCAGGGACAACCAAGAAGCCAGGCAGAGGGGAACAGCCGGTCATGACCAAATGATTACAAGAGAAACCTTTCCCGATGATCCCGAGAGACAAGACGACCACCTTGTCGCTGAACTCAAAAGCATGTTCATGATATCAAAAAATCTGGACTATGGCGGCTTGCGATATGCACACTCTGTCAAGAGTACAAACTTGAATGGACTCAATAATGGTGACGACAGCCTCATATTAAGTGGCCCCACTTCCGAGGGAGTCTGGGACGATAGTAACATGTCATTCACTGGAGTTCTAGATGAGAATGGTGAAGAACTCGAAGAAAACGAGCTTCAGTTACGTCAGTGGGAGTGGATCATGGCCGCAAGGGTCCTGGATCGAGCCTTGCTATGGGTGTCAATAATTGCCGGCATTGTAACTTTTTTCGCCATTTTCATGAGAGCCCCTCGCTTGCAGACTTTATTGTTTGGCTCTTGAGTAATCATGGAAAGAGGTCATCTCTCGAGCACTGTCTAGACTGGAAACAGGGGAACCATTGGGATAAAACAGCAAAGCTCTCCCGGATTCTTGTGAAGTCTTGCCATTTATTAATTCCCACTGGTCGTAATAGTAAAAAATTGACAAAGACAAGAAAACAGTAGTAATATAGGTATTCAAAGAAAATGATCGCTGAAGAACTGCTGAGATTAATACGTACTTAGTACTCAGTCAGTCAGCCATTGCCTTAGAACTCACAAAACTTTAAGTAACAAGTAGAAAGCTGGCTAATCCCGCTCATCACAACCTTCTCCGTGGTTGAGTTTAGATTTCTGCACTGTTAACTGGAAAATATTAGCGCTACATTGAGGGTACTGTCCGGCGATGCCCTAAGAACTCATTTTTGGAGACTTGTGATACTAGTCTTCACTTGTCGACGAGATAACTTTGATGAACTTCGGCTTCGTGGCGAGAGATTTAGCAGCAGTCTTTCAAACAACACTTTAGCAAGGGAATTAGTACGAAGAACACAAAACAGAGATCAAACGTTGCAGAGAAGTAAAATATCTCATGTATCTGACAATCAACTTACAATACATCATTAAACTGGAAAATTGGTCTTAATGAAAGACTGAAGAATTTTAGTTTATGGTGATTCAGAGGTTGGGATGGACATGAAATCAATCAGTGTATCGTGTAGTATCCTGCACCCGGGCAGGATTTAAATTTGGGTCAATTTTGCTCCATGCCACATCTGACAATAACGAGTGTGTTGATCGGTTGGCAAATCTCTTGTGGTAATTATCCAAAAGGTTGTGTTTGTTGAATTGGAGGAAATAAAAAAATACAAATACAAAAGTATTGTTTCAGTCAACTCCGGCGGAGACGAAACTGATGCTATTGCTAAATGTATATTTTTTGTAAAAGCTGATTTGCAAGTTCCTGGAAATTTGATGTTTTGCTCTCCAAAGGTCTCAGGCGAGAAAAATTAAAATTACCCTTCAACTGAAATATATGTCAGGCACTTCGCATTTTATATTTTTTATAAGAAACTACGCGACAAACTTGCATTTTTCGTCTTTTGTTTTACCAAGGGAAAATAAACAGTATGCATGTTGAACGAGAAGCAATGTTTGCGACTCAAATCTCCGCAGCAGTAACAGAAGAGGCCTTCATGAAGAGAAGTAATAAGACCATCTCGATGGTAGGTTCTCCCGTTACCAAGCTTCCTCGGTGTATGCCTTTCTACAAAGAGGGTACGTTTCTGAGGAGACTGTGGTGTTGCGTCGGTGGGGTAGTATAACCCGATAATTTTGGATTTATTGTAAAACGATATACATTGGTGAAACAGGAAAACGACTTGGTGGTCGATTCCGAGAAAACTCCTTCGCGACGTAGAAGAAAATGACAATGACGCATCCAAACCAGTCGCTAGATCGACAGCATATGGCAGTTTGCGGCAGTTCAGTAAAACACTTGAACAAAAATTTGTCTCTGTAATCGGCACCCTTAGTCCTCACGGTATCAACGAACGCTTTTCATTCTTATTTTTCTAATTACTATGTTCCCACCAATAGCATAGCGCCATTTTCGGCATAGAAACCCACACACAACCCACAATTCCTCCATTCGCTCTGATGAAGGGCTAACGCTCGACATTCTTTACGGTGGCCAATTTACATCATCAACTCAGTTGAAAAAACCAAAATCATGCCTGTCAATATCCTAAAACCCCCTTAAAGGTATTATTTTAGTATCCACCAACCCTAAAATGGGGCAAGAGGGGAAGAGTTAGAGGACAAGACTTAAATGATAACGTCCACGAGCTCCTTATACCTTCCGGGATGAAAAAAACAAAAACAAAAAACTGAAAAGGGTCCAAGACGTAGCATTAATAATTCAGTCTGCTGTCTCATCAAATACCGCAAATATTCACTTCCTTTTGAAGAAATGAGATGGAATTCTTCTTTGTAGGGAAATGAAGTACGTTTCATTGTTAGTTTGTTGCACAGCCTTTTTAAATTTTGCTCATAATCCCAGTGGCTGTGAATCAGCCGACGGCTTACATACCATGCATTTTATTATGGAATTTGCTCACGTCGTTCTTGGTGCGCATGTGTGTTCGTGTGCGTGCGGTCTGTAGTATAGATATATTTGAAAATGGCACTTTTGAACATTTCACTCCCGCAGTGCCGGACAATTTTGAAACAAGATTTAATGCGGTGTCTCTGTGTGCGTGTCTCGATCCAATATTTCGTGCGAGGCCTAAGAAAAACCTTCATGGTTTGTTACAAATTAACGATTAATTGCGCTTACGGGGAAAACCGTACAACTCTCACGGGTTGCATTGTGACATAACACGTTACGGGTACGGGTACCAGTGCAGTGTGCTATTGTGCTCGCCTTTATGAAACAGACTTATTTTAATGAGCTCCAACCGATAGAATTGATTATATCTAATTGGAACTCAGTTCCCTGATTGCAATCAAATCGCAAGGCGGCATTGCATTTAAGTACATAGGAAAGCCTGATTAGTTCACCAAACGGTGTGGTTTTTTGGAAATACTCCAATGTGTTCTTTGCCTTTTTTGACGTTGCCAGCGTTCCTGGTTATGTGCGTTGCTGTTCTTGCTGTCGAGATATTATGCGATGAACAACGTAAGTTGAAACGTAAATTATACATAGTTCTTAAACAACGCATCGCTGATGATAATAACTAGCCGTGAATATTCCCTATAAGCATGCCATAGTGACGCTCACCACAGCATGTCTTGTTTTTAAATCTGTAGCCTGTAGCTTTAACACAATGAATTTACTTTAGGAACCGTATTGATCGAGGCTATTTTCTGAAAATCATTTGCCTTCTCTGACTCACAATTCCATCTGAACTTTAAATACAGAAAAATTATTTTACGCAATGAAACACAAGGATTAGAAATTTGCTAGAATCTTAAATTAGTCATGATAAACTATGATGTTTATAACGACGTCAAATGTAGGTCAAAGGAATTATTAACCAAGGGAAAATAAACTTAGCTCACATCATAGCTTAACTGAAATAAACTCATGTAAGTACAAAAACCGGAACCTTAGGATCCAGTCGAAGCGTTATGTAATCATTTGCGGTGATTAAAGTTTATTTGTTAAGTTACCTTAACACTTAGACCAACTACTGGTGCGTTACTCTTATATCATTGGTGATGATCATTTATACATATATATAAGAGTTGGTCTGAAAATTACACCTAAACCAACGCACTGTGTTAATCTTCCATGTGGTAAAGTTTTTCTAATGACAGACCAGATCCAAAGAATTATTAAATGTACCAACACTGAGCATTTTTGTCGGTTCGCTTTTCGTTACTACGAGTTTTAATCATGCAACATCCCGCTGTGGCGTAACTTAAACCACCTTGTCCCTTAAAGATTGACAGAGCCGCAGTCTTTATACCATGCTCAACTAATTTTTCAATTCACATTTCGTCGGCACATAACTTTTATGGAAAAACAGACTCGAAAGCAAAGAAAAATGGTTTAGAACTTTTAAATAATTTTAGGCGTAATCTCCATTGCTAATGTTATGCGAACAGGCTCATCTCACGAAATTAACCGCTTCTTGGTGATCTATATTCATTCAAATTAGATCGTGTCTTCGTACGCTTTTCTTTATAAGAAACGCTCCGAAATTCACCGCTGTTTGGCAACCTATATGCATTCAAATTAGATCGTGGTTTCGTATGCTTTTCTTCATAGGGAACCCAACAGTTCAACTGAACTTATCTAATTAAAAAACTTTGCGCTTTTTCTCAGTAACAAGACGGAAACACTGAAGTTGGAAATTTATTAAGAAGTCATATCTTATCTACCGTCAACCTCAACCTGCATTGACAAATTCGAAAGACATTCTTTTTATTTTTAATAACCTCGTTTGTTATGTCGGAGAAGTAAATAATCACTTTAAACGCTTGATGGGATCTTTCTTCATTCCGTTCTTTCTTTCTTTCTTTCTTTGCTTTTTCACTGGTTCTAAAAAAGCTTATTTAAAAGAAATTATAATTGAATCTTTACCCAAAAATCTTACGGTTTCTCGATAAGTGCTGTTTCCTGCAAGTAATATAATTAATAAAAGCATATTCGAAATGATAATAAGTGCTTCTCAGAGGAAAGTAATGTATTTCTAACTTTTCGGCTTGAACTAGTTGAACTAGGCCCCTAACACGGTGTTATTAAGCCGGACAGAGAAGAACCACACCGGAAAAGTTTAAAAAATTGTGAGGTATTCATCTCTCATATTTCTTGGAATCTATTTTCTTACATAACCAAAACGGAAAATTGCTTCATTAATTTTAAAAACGACTCTTGTTATGACTTGATTACTTGTTGACGAAGAAATTTGTTTTGAACTTCGCTGCGGCTAACATGTTGCCAATAGGTACTGCTCATATTCAAAGGTATGGTTTGGTTAGGTCCTTGTTTATCTAAACCGCCTTCTTAACAATCTTACATCAAGCAGAAAATATCACCTTCATCTTAACATTTGGCGAAATGTCATATTCGGCACTAAAATGAAGATCTAATTACTCTAAAAAACCTTCAGACGAGAAACTTTCGAAGTCCATTGATCATCAAAGACCGCAGCTTATATTGGTCAGCGTTTAAATGAGCGACCTTAAGTTTTTTACTTCATCTGTAAAACCTTTTGGATTCCTATTCCAGATGAGAGTTCTAAAATGCAACTGAAGAGCACACAAATCATTCGATCTCCTGATGCCGACATGCACCCATGACGCAAACAACACAGTAATTTGAAGGTTCCCGCAAATAAATAATTTATGAAGATAGTATTTCAGAAAAATAAGAAAAAAATAATGAGGTATTGAAAATTAAAGTTCTCGGATAAACGAGCCTTAGCTAGAACAGTGTATAAATAACTGGATGTTAAGCAGTTGGCTTCTGTTTGCAGAAGACGGTAAGCGCACGACAATACAAAGACTTTCCGAGAAACTGTTTGATGGCTACAGGAAGGACTTCTTACCGCGTCTCAATGAATCAGTGCCGGTTAAGGTGGAGTTCGATTTTGAAATAATCACCATCAAAGACGTGGTGAGTCTCTGAAGTTAACTCCAGTGATATCAAATGAATGTTTATTGCATAACAATTCCAGTTTCTGCATACCTATTAGAAAGTTTTTCAATCGGAGGGCGGAGAAACAGGGTGTATCAGTTACAATTCTAATCGTTGCCACCTAAAATTGTTGTACATGAAACGGATGCAGTTACACAACTTTTATTGAAAAGGTATGATAACATACCTTTCAAACTTGTTACATCCTTACTAAGGAACCCTCACTGTAATTTCAGAACGCCAAGGACCAGACTATGACAGTGTATGGCTGGGTACGACAGGTAAATATTTCATCTTCATCTTTTAAAGTGAACGGTTATTAAATGACTGTACATATATATGAAAGCACATACATTACAACTGCGGACAAAGAAATTAATACAGAAGCGATTTTCATGATAATGAACACTACTTAGCACTACTTAGGCAATAGTGAAAATAACGCCTGAAAAAATCTTTTTCTTGGCCTTATTTTCTCTACGATAAGGAAATATTTTTGCCGGCCCTATTTTCACTACTGCTTAAGAAGCGTTCATTGCTGCAAAGATCGCTTCCATATTCAGAACGGTTATTATTTTCCTCCTGGAGCGGCTGGGGGAGGGGTTAGGATCCCCTCTCGTTGGCAGTTAATTGCAACTGGGAGTCAATTTTCAACGGTACCCTCTTTAAACTCTGTTGACGACGACTGTTTCTCCTCCTCACCCCTTGAAAATTAAGTGACCCCCTCCCCTCCCCTTCCCTAGCACTTTCGGTCCTTTCACTGAATTGGGGTGACTTTTGTGAATATGAGATTTTGTTCCGATCCACTCAGGTTTGGCACAATCCGTTTCTTCAGTGGAATTCTTCCGAGTATGGTGGCATTAAAAACCTTCAGGCAAGCGCCGAGAAGATCTGGGTACCAGACATACTCATGTACAACAAGTAAGAGGAAGCTAACACTAACGTGTCAAATTAACTGAATAAAAGGGAAACCGTATTAAACATTATTACATTTTTAACTCCGAATGTTGCTTTTCTAGTATCCTGATTGGTTCATTCAACTCCAGTAATCAGCTCATACTCCGAATCGCTGTATGTGGAAATGCACTGCAACAACTGTTGCAGAGCTGAAAAAAGCTCCAAATATCCAAACGTTCTGGATTTAATGAAATTTAATAGAGCAAGTATTCCATTCGTGCCTGTTGGATACGAGATTGGGTGTAGTCATAAAATCTTGGTTATAGCCAACGAGGCACGTATCTCTTATCCAACGCGCGCTCTTAGAATAACTAGGGACCTTGAGCAGTCAGGACGGCAACGCCGTGGAGGAAGTGAATCAAAAATAAAAAATTGAATTCTTATTTTTAGTAAGAATCTCACAAGAATGTTCCACCACCATCGAAAAGTAGTCGCACTAACCTACGCATTTAGACACAAGGATGGTCAGTTCGATCTTTGCCAAGACAGTGACTGATCTGAGGATTACATTTTACTTTTTCTAGCGTTGACCTCCAAGACCGTATTGGTGGTGGACCTACAACATACAAAACCAAAGTTGTCGTCCAAGCGAACGGACAAAACGACTGGAAAAGTCCTGCCATTTTCCAAACTCTGTGTTCCATAGATGTAACCTACTTCCCCTTCGACATACAAAAATGTTCTCTTAAGTTCGGTTCTTGGGCCTCAAGCAGTCAACAGTTAACTATGAGCTCGGAACAGATGAGTGGGAAAACAAATCAGTATGTGGACAATGGCGAATGGGATATCCTCAAAATAGAGGCTAAAAGGAACGTTGTGCAATACAGAACGGGAACTTTTGATGACGTGACAGTTACCATCGTGATAGGTCGCGAGTACTTCGTCTTCTGTGTGAACTTAATAGTTCCGTGCTTTCTTATTTCGTCAATGATATTTCTAGGTTTTATTCTTCCTCCAGAATGCGGAGAGAGGATTGGGTTAAGTATTACCGTTCTCCTCGCTATGACGGTCTTCCAACAGTTAACTTCGGACATTTTCCCTTCATTTTACTTCCCGCTCCTTGGTCAGTATTATTTTGCAACCAGCGTAGAAATAAGTATTTCAATTTTGGTGACAACGGTGATTCTTAATTTCACAGCGCGCAAAAACAAAAAAATGCCACGCTGGATGCGGAAGTTGATGCTGCAGTGGATGGCACGTGTGGTCCTCCTGGGGAAAACTGTGGAAAAAAGTTGTCCAAAACCAAAATTCAAAAGATCCACCCAGCGAAGAAGGCCGGAGACGGAATACAAGGACCATAAAGAAGCCAGGGAAAATGGAGCTGTTGTTCATGAGCAAATGATGCACGGATCGTCACCCGATCAATCCGAGCGAAAGGATGACCGCCTTGTGGCTGAGCTCAAAAGCATGTTCATGATTTCCAAAAGTCTTGATCGTGGTGGCTTACGGTACGCCAACTCGGTCAAGAGCACCCACTCGAATGGATTTACAGACGAAAATCCCTACAGCCCTGAACCTTACGAAGTCTGGAACGAGACTAGCTTGGCATGTACAGGAGTACTTGATGAAAATGGCGAAGAACTCGACGAATACGAACTTAATTTACGTAAATGGGAGTGGATCATGGCCGCTAGGGTCCTGGATCGAGCTTTCCTGTGGATTTGCATAATTACTGGAATTGTAACATTCCTAGCCATTTTCATGCGAGCACCTCGCTTGCAAGAAATAATATTTGGTTCCTAGAACAGACATGAAATGCCGTTTACCCTTCAAGGATGGGAACAAAAGATAGTTAGACGATAGATGAAGACTTTGGTCATCGTAGATAAGCCGTAAAATATTCGAGACATATTGAACAAGATAGTATAGTGCAATTAGAAGTTATTTATCAGTATTCATGTGGAAAATTCGAAGCAGCTGGCTCTACTGTGAGGATGATGAACTCTGGATCGAGACGTCCGGGTTCCGAAGCCCTTGCAAGGGAAATAGGTCATGTCCACGAACGCTCGCCTGAGGCTTAGTGCCAAAAATTCAGAGTAAAAATGAATTTAAATTGCACCAGGAAAAGACCTCGTTTTTGTAAAAAGAATTTGCAATTAGCCTCGATTTGAAAAGAGGCTTGTGACATCTTGTAAATGGCCTGTTGCGTTGCCTCTCTCGATGAACAGCTAAAGTCATGGTAACGAAGATGAGGAAACGAGAGAGCCCGGGGAGAGAAGGAGGGGGAGAAGAGAGACTGAGTCATTTACAGTATTTTTGGAAGAGAATGGCGTGGAACTCGAACGGCAAGAACTGAAGATGTTACTGTGAGATTACATCACGACCGCCAGGGTCTTGGAAAGAGCCTTACTGTAGATACCAACAATAACTTACATTGTAACGTTTGTCGCTGGTTTTACGAAAGCACATCGCTAGCAATAATTGTTTTTTTGAAACGAAGGGAACATTTCGCAGCCCTGTACCGATTTGAGACCGTCAGAAATTGTGCATTTGTCGAGATACGACTTTTGCGAGAGCTTATTCAAGCCGAGAGCGTTAAAAGAGTCACCAAAGTTAAGTAATACTTTTCCCCCTCGGATCTGAGAAGGAGGAACCAAAAAGCAAGTTTTCATTACATTTCGTATTCATTACTTGAATCACTGATTTCAATATTAGAATTCTTTGTAATAAAAATAACTGACAATGTACACTTTTTGGATTGAGTTGCTGTGGAAAAAAAGCGAAATATAAATGAAAGAAGCGAAAAAGAGGCATCGTCCGCGCCCCTGGCTATCGCCACATCTACATATCACAAATTCCACGTTCATGTTAACCATGTCAATTGTCCAAACTTTGAAGACGTAGAATTACTTTCCACTTAATTGACAAATTAGATTCGAGCATGGGAGTACAAGAGCCCTTTTAATAACAGACCAGCTGCGAAAATCTGTCGCGCATGCTTTGAATTCCTATAGGCCACGACCCCCGGAGCAACACTTTGGTTTTCGACGCCTATCTTTTTCGTCATCTTCTTTTCTCCTCTTTTCCAACACTGAAATTAAATTTGGAATAAAACATTTGCATCACCAAAGTTAATAGAGCATTCTACTTTTCCAATTCACTTGAGTCAGTCGAGGAACACCCGACGCATATACAACAGCTGATTTTAGAGTATTTTCATAGCATAAAAGTTAAAAATACTTGGAATACTTCAATTATTACTCAATGCGCTGTCCCTCTGTCTAATTTTTGTGTATGTGTTTCTCGTGGTTTTCAGATATCTAATTAAAAAAAAATTCCATGTTGCCGTGCGTCTGTTAAGTAATAGATCACAGCTACTGCCCAAATGTGGTAAGAACAAAAATGTATTACTGATGTTCTTAGCCCATCTTGACGCCTTCTGTGGTCTGTTTCTATCAAGACCCGCGGGGACATGGAATCTGTTTGTTTTAAAAAGCCAAAGGTTGTTAATGGCAACGTCATTTATACGTCCGTCCTCAAAAAGATCCCAAGTAAGAACCAATCAAATCGCGTGCATAATTCAACCTAGCACAAAACCCTTAACCCTGTGGACCCCGAGTGTGACTGACTTCTGATTTCTCCTCACAAAATCACACTTGAATTAAATGTAAAGGTTTTGAGACTAAAGGAAATGATCACCAATTTAAGGCGCTCCTCATTGACACAAAAGTTTTCCTTATCAGCACTACAGGAATTGTAAAGAGAACAGTGTGAACAAAATAAATACTAATGCTAGGGTGCAAAGAGCTAAACGAGATGATCTTTTCGGATTTCAGATGACTATTTCAGTCAGAAGTTTAAGGACACACAATTACTGATCTGCCAAAGCCTCTTCGATGACACTAACCAGTCTTTTGAAAACTCAGCTCTGTTTGTAAAACATCAAACATAACTTTCTCCTACAATGGATAAGTTTATCTTCTATGGTAATTTCGTAGTAGGCTGTCACGACTTATGTAATATGTCAGAAGGGATAATACAAATTATGTTTCTGATAATTTACTTAACATAACATACTAGTGTGAGTTGGCAAGTGTACGCGCGAACTTGCCTTTTTCTTATGAACTAAGAAAAAGGCAAGGTCTTAGGAGAACTTACCCAGGCCACCCCCACTTCCTATCTGTTGCACTCCAACTCTTTTTCCCTGAGTCTCTAGCTCACGTAGAATTGCTTGCTCAAACGTTACGGCTGCTAGTCGACGGAATAGGCCTTTGACGTTCTCTCCTGAGTACAATCGAAACACGATGGTCAACTAACTGTGCGGTTTAATTTTTGTGGTGACTTGCGATGAAGTCAAGACATCTTACCACTTACCCTGTAATGAGTGATCTGTTCGCTAAAGTCATAAGCAAGCCCAAATCAGTTCCTCATTTTGTTTGGTACTTAAAAAATCTCTGGTGAAGAAGGAAAACTAAACGAAGAAAAACCTCTTCTACTTCTTAACCTTTTAACCCCTAAGAGTGACTAGAATCCAAATTCTTCTTTCAGTATCACTCCTGGATCACACATTTAAGATACGAGAGTTAAGAAAATGATAAAACACTTAAGAGTCTCCTGATTGTTGAATAAATTCTCCTTGTCAACACCTTAAGCAACGCATGGTGAACAGTATGGAGATTATGCATCCTGACGTTAGGAAGTAAATGGTTACAGAAAGATGTCAGGAGACGGAAATTAGCGGGAACAAGGAAAATCTAGCTGACAGGGACATACATGTATGCTTCCCCAGACAAAATTTCATCACTTCTGATATCGCTGTGCTGTTATTTGTTAATGCTACCTTGTTACGTTTCCGCGAAATGGTTATTACTTTGCATAAAGTCTCACAACTAAATTTTCCAGTGAAGGTTTACCTGATTTAGATGATACACTCCAGTATTCTGCGTTAATTTCTTCTGCAACCTTCAAAGCACTCATCTCCATTTGTGAAAATTCATTGCTTTTCTGCACAAGAAGACAATTTATTACACCCACTTAACGATTTCCTTCGTATCGGTGTTTCTTTCCTTATAGCCGAATAGCTAAAGTCTAAACGTCTTTTTTTCAATCAGTGAAATATTCTAGGGAATTTTTTTCTCAATGTGAAAGTATTTACATTGACAACGTAAAACTGATTATCGACTTACTGTTGATACTGTCATTGAAACCAAATATCAGAACCAGTATTAAATTTGATTGGCTGTGGAAATTAGGGCATCTTAACATCTTCAAGATAATAATCAATAGGGTAATTTTTCTACTCCGGTTCCAAGCATAAGTGCAATGCATTATGTACGCCGAGCGGACTTATTAATCTCATCTCAAAAGTAATCAGTAATAGTATATTTTCAAACTGCCACTCATGTGTGCTTTCAGTTTTTCAAAATGCCTCAAATGTGAAAGTACACGTAATACCATTTCAAGCTGTCAACAGGCAACTAATAACGACGACAACATGATAAAAAAAAAACCCTATACTCACACAGAGGTCCTTTTTGGATCCTACAAGGAAAATTTCTGGACAAGTTGTTGTGTTTTGTTCTAAAGCTTCCTCCAGCCATTGCCTAATTCAGCAGAAAAGAATAGAACACTTTTATCCAACACAGTCATGGGAGGCCTACAATTCAGGTTGTTCAATATGAATGAAAAGCCGCTGAACATTGCTTAACATAAACAAGTAAATTTCAAGGTCTACAAAATTGCATAAATTGATCTAATACTATACAATTATTATATTTAATTTAGTAAACATGAAATTCTTCTTCAAGTTGCAGTGAAAGATGCTTCACTAAATGGAATGATTTCAGTTACATTATTACTTCATACAGGTGGTTTTAACCCTTTACATCCAAATATCAGAATGCATATTCTCCATACTGTCCTCTGTATACTTCCTTAGGTGCTGATGAGGAGAATTTGTTTCACAATCAGCAGCTTCTTTAGTTGGTGATCATTTCCTTTGATCTTGCGACCGTTATCTGTTATTCAGGGTTGATATACATGAAGTATGGAGAAATAAGGTGCCACTCACTCCTAGGGTTTCAAGGGTTAATAATAATAATAGTACTAATGATAATAATAATAACTATAATAATAATTATTATCATTAATCAAAATGCCAGTGATAATGATAATCAACCAATAATGTAAAAAGGGCTAGCTCACTTTGTATTGTTAAGAGTCTTGATGCTTGTGAGGTCAAACACTAAGATGATCACTGTAGAAATAAGACAAAATAATATAATTGTCACCATCCATCTACAGTGTGTGCAGCAAACAAAAATACAAACAAACATGCTGATAAACTGACATACATGAAAATTGTCTATGGACTAAAGGTGTCAATGATCATCTAAGGTAGGTTTCTATTATATATATGGTGTTGCTCGCATCAAATCAAGTCAGGTTTTACAAAATAATTCATGCTTCAGGTAGGAGGTCATTAAAAACTTACCATGTGCTCCCCTGTAGTAGGACTGAGCCATACATTTGAATCTCTCTTGGCCAGCTGTATCCCAACTAGACATCATTTAAGAGTAAAATATCCATTATACAAAATTAGATATGATAGATGTTCTTCATCTTGTCACAAGCATGGGACAAGGAAAAAATTCTTTAGAACTTCAGATTCTGCACCCCGATGCTCTACCACAGAGCCACTGAGACTCTGAGGTGAGAAAGGCCCAATATGAAGTTCATATATGACACACTGCAATTTTCTTATTCTATTTACAGAACATGATGCCATTGACATTGCTGATCTGAGTAATATACAGGACACATATCTTCTGTGAACTTTGTAATGGCCTTGCTCACCATGAAGTCTCTGTGGCTCAGTGGTAGAGCATCGGAAAGCAGAATTCTAAGGTCCAAGGTTCAATGCCTCATGGGAACTCACAATTTTTTCTTTGTCCCACGCTTGTGATATTAAACAGAAAAACATTTTTCTCTATTTCTTTACCCAGCCTAGTACTTACCATCTTCCTTATTCTACTTACAAAATTAAATATGTT